CATATGTAACTGAATAGTTAGGAAGGTGGTTTAATATGAATCAAATAGCTATTTATGATGTTTATCTTATCAAAAGATTCATGAGTATAAAGTAGGTTCCTATTAATGTATCAATAAATAAATAAATAAATATAAAGGTCCATGTTAGGGTCGTACTCTAGCCAATCAAAGCTGCCATGTGATTGTTGTTGTGTCCCGATGGTAGGTGATCCAAGCATCCCCATAGGCAAAATCTCGGACAAGAGTGAAACACGCAATACCCCCACCTCACTGATCAGCATTCCAGCCAAAGAACATGAGATCGCCCAAACACCTCATTGAGCGGTCTCCTCCCTTAAGTCCCACAAGGGACGTGATCAAGTGCACCATGACACTCGGCTATTTAAAGACATCTCCCCTCAAAATACATTCTCTCCAATCTCTTATGCTCTCTAATCTTTTTGCTCCCTTGCTTCCTTAACCTTGTTCGGCTTGGACCCGCTCGTCCTTAACGGCTTGGCCTAGCCAACCTTTTTTCACATCTTATTGACATGAGTATCAAAGTGCCTTCCCTAGGGACCTCCTCCTCGAAACCTCTGACAACATTTAAGTTGTAGGTTTCGCTCAACACACCACATCGTCCTATCACCTCAGCTCATCCAACTTGATAGGACTTTATCTATAGCGTGTCCACCTCGGTTCGGACATTATCTATCCTTAAATGGTTTCAAATGAAATCAGACTATTCAATAAGGGAGGACCCTTCGATTTTTTTATCTATTACATTTGATAATGGATCATCTTCTAGAGTAGTATTAGTTGTCAAATGAGCTTATCTACTCCTTCAGGATATGATTATTAGACGAATATTGAGCATCAACTATGTTATTTGGACCTTTTATACTGGTCATTCTAAGAAACTAGTGTAAGAGCACATGTCATGCACATGTGCAAATAAGTATTGACCATATATGATACTAGCAAATTGGATATGCTTTTACATGTAAAAATTTTAGTTGTTGCTTATGATGATGATGGTAATAATATATTTTCAAATCTTCTACATTTTTATATTTTAATGTATAAATATAATTCTTATTTATCACACTTTTTTTTTTGTTTAATATGATAAGTATATAATGATAGATATGTGATCAAATGTTATGATATCAAGGACTAACATAATTGGCCTAAAAGTTTGGGTTTATTTTAAATTTTGTAATTATATCCATCACTAATGAAGACAATTTTTCTTTATCACAGTTATTTTTCTTTTTCTTTTTTTTCCATTCTACTTCATGGGACCACAAAACAGGGGCAGCCCATCCCCTAGATCCCATAAACCCCCTAACCCTAGTGGCAATGAGATTTGACCCTAGGTCTTGATTATAATTAACATTTATTTTTCTTTAATATGATTGATATAAAATATTAGAGATGTGCCCAAATGATTTCTACAAAATCTATGTATTTTTTGTATTTTTATTTTTTCTTATTAATTATGACATCAAGTGTTGACACATTTGGCCTAAAACGTTGAACTATTGACTTACCACCAAACAGGAAAACAAATTCACTTTTGGGTTAGTCTTAAATTTTGTATTCTATTTCCATCATCAATGGAAACAATTCTTGTTTATCATGCATATTTTTCTTTAATATGACTAATATAAAATACTAGAGACGTAACCAAATTTCTCTACAATATTTTCTAGTTTTTTTTTTGTATTTTTGTTTGATATGATGAATATACAATATTAGAGATGTGCCTAATATTTCTATAATTTTTATTTTTTACAATTTGTATTTATTTATATTTTAAAAGTTCTATGATTTAATTATAACATCATGGGTTAACTCATTTGACCAAATGGCTAAATTTCTTAATTGCCTCTGGGAGTTAAGGACAAAAGACTGATTTTGTTTTTGGATCAGTTTTAAAAAACATGGGTTTTATATTATTAAAATATTGAATATAGATCTAATCAATAGAATTTTTTGTCAAAAAAATATTAAATATAGGATTCAATAAGAGAAAGGATGTTAATAACTTCAACACAAGACTGAATGAGGTGAAAAGTAATAGTTCAAATTAAATTCTCTACCCTTACAATTAAAGGTGACGAAAATCGCAAATAAGTGTATCTTATTCAATAATAAAATCCAATGAAAGATAATGAGAATTAATACCATAAATATAAGACTTAATAAGAATGAATTGGATGAGGTGAAAAACAAAAGAAAAAAAATCAGGGGTATATTAACACATCAGACCATCACTAAAGAAGAAATAATCCTTTACCAACACCATCATCATAGTTCATCAATCGTGTTTGCCCAATCAATATGCAATTTGGGTTGGGTTGGGAATTTATTAAATTTTCATCTCTCTCTCTCTCTCTCTCTCTCTCTCTCTCTCTCTCTCTCTCTCTCTCTTTCTATCTATCTATCTATCTATCTATCTATCTATCTATCTATACACACACACACACACATATCTATCTATCTATATATATAGATAGATAGATAGATAGATATGCTTCTTTTTAATGTTTTGGGTTTTGGGCTGGGTCAAGTCATTAAGGTAGACCCAATCCTAAACTGATAAAGAAAACATGCAAACATGGCCCTAACTAATCAGGCTTATAGGGTTAGTAAGTGATAAACCCAAAAGTGATTATGTTATTAATGAGGCTTATCAGGTTTGATAAGCTTTCTAATCCTTTGGTTCTCCTCAAAATATTGCATATGTTCCCTATAAAATGCCACATCTTATATGAAGGAGCCCAGATTTGTTGTAGCCTTGTAGTAATGACCATCAGTGTGGGCCCAATAACAGGTTAGCAGTTGTAAGGCTACACATTTGGAAGTCTTTCTTGTTGGGCTCAATTTGGAAGGGGTACAAATACAAATATGTAGAGTACAAATATATACAAAGTAATACAAAATACAAGCTTTTGCACTCTACATTTTTGTATTTATATTCCTTCCAAACTGAGCCTTGATGACTAATGGAGAGGCGCAAAACTACATATTATGTAGCTTCCCTCTCTTTATGTCCTTTCCCCCTCAAACTTTTTTATAATAAAATCTCATTTTTTTATGTCTCTCTCATCTCTTAACTTGTTTCTCTCTTTCTTTTTTATTCTTTCCTATTAATTATGTGACTATTTTCTCTTTTATGTGCCTCTTTCTCTAAACTCTTTCCTAATGAAGTCTAACTTTTCATTTTCTCTATCCTCTCTATACCTTCTCTCCTTTAGATTCTCTCTCCTGTTGGTTGTAAGATTTTTTTATGTGTAACTAGTAAATTTTCATTAAATAAACCACCCAATTTTGGTTATGTAGTCTTTCTCCCATGTCTTTTTATGTCCAGCTTTTTTTCTAATAAAGTCCAATTTTCATTTTCTTTTTCCACCCATAACTTCTCTCTCTCTCTCTCACGTCCTTTTTCTTTTTTGTCTTTTTTTATTATGATGTCAAATTTTTATGCTTTTCTCTTTTTTCTCTTATATGGTTTCTATTTCTCCTCTATCCACCATCTCCTTTTAAATTCTCTCTTATTGGTTATATGGTTCCTTTGCTTTATTTTCTTAAGTAGTAAATGTGTCAATTCTTTGCACTTAGCAATTTGATGATAGTAAATAATATGTTTTCAAAATTTTTTACAATTATTTCATATTTCTATATCTATAAAAATTATTCTTATTTTGTCACACTTATTTTTGTTTAATATGATGAATATATAATATCATAGAAGTGCCCAGGTGTTTTCTACAATTTTTTTTTTATATTTTTTGTAATTTTGTTGACTCGTTAGGAAAGTAATTCCATTTTGGGTTGGTTTTAAATTTATATTTTATTTCTATCATCAATAAAAACAATTATTTTTTGTTATATTTAATTCAATGAAAGAATGGAAATTAATACCCTAAATATAAGACTTAATGAGAGGGAATTTAATGAGGAGAAATATAATAGTTCAAATGACATTTTGTGACCTCACAATTAGAGAATGACAAAATTCAAAAATAGAGATATTTTAATGAATATTAGGATTCAATAAATGTTAATTGGAGTTAATACATGTAATATAAGACTTTATGAGAGGGATTTGAATGAGGAGAAAAGTGATTGTTCAAATTACATTTCTATCCTTACAATTAAATAGGGCATAAATTCAAAAATTGGGATATTTTAATCAAGCATAATTATACACTCTAGTTCACACTTCTAATAGGAGTATAGTATATAGATTTTTCTACAAAGGTGTTTATTTAAGTGGCATGTGAAAGTTTTGGAGGGGTATTTAAAACTTTTCATAATTCAAGAAGTAGTAAAGTGATGCAACTCGATAACTTAGTGGGGGTTTGGAATTTACCCAAAAAAAGGGAGAATGTCTGTTCATCCCACCCCAAAATTCTTAACCACACTGTACAGGTGGAATGAATCTCTAATGTAGATTGATGCCAAATCCATAGGAAGCTGTAATTTCAGATTTATGCGATCACCTAAAAATAATTCCAATGGTGAAACTTGAAAGAATAAAAGGAAAATTTAATAAGAAAATGGTAAATTGCAAAAAGGTACCTATAAGTTGGGAGTAGTCTTACAAACTTGAAATTCATTTTTTTTTTTTTTTTTATAATTTTTACCTTTGGACTTCTTACACAAACAAGCAGCTACAAATTAAGCATTTGAAAGTGAGACTAAATAGATCTGGGTGAACTTACTTGTCGTCGTTGATTTGCATAAAAAATTTGAAAGGTAGAAGGTAGAAGATGATGAATAGTGAATAAAGAGAATCAAAATATGAGCATTTTCGTAATTTTATCTCCCACTAAAGTGTTAGTATAGTGGGGTTGCATTTGAAAGCTCTAGTTATAATTTTATAAAGTTAGATTACCCCGAAAGTGCAATACTAAAATGGCATATTCGAAAATTCTTGACACTAAAGTGATAATACCCCAAATTACAAGTACCTACCTATAATTTACCCTAAAAATTCTCACGACCATATGGACATGGAGCAGCAAAAGCCAACATACCCTAAGCCCCTAACCAAGCTCGTACAGACTGTTAAGCGCAGAGCTGAGTCGATAATGGCGGTGGCGTGTGGCAACTGCTGATTCGATCTCCCACTCTACGGCACCCGGAAGTCCTTTTCTCGGTGTGGCACCTTCCTGCTGTCCTATGTTGCATTTGATGCTGTTTGAATACTGAAACTGAATAGCCCAAGAGGAAGATGCTCAACCAATCCCAATCCCTTACCATTTCCCATCTTTTTTATTATTAATTAATGCCACATGGACAGTGCAAAGTTTCGCGGAGGCGAAACCTCCAAAAGGCCAAGCCATCGCGACGAATTATTGCTTTCTGCTCATGCGCACCAGCCTTCCTCGTCAAGTGAATCGTCTCCAGAATCTGAAATCCGCCAACAACCGTCGCTCCTTCTCTTCTCGTTTATTTAACTTGTCGCCCATCTCATACACTCCAATTACCGAACAAGTTGTGAGCATTTAATTCAAATCCCGCAATCAGAAATAAAGAATTAAGAGATAGGAGATATGATTCTCCCTGTTGTGAAGCTCGGCACGCTAGCCTTGAAGACAGCCTGTAAACCCGTTGCCGCAAGACTCAAGAAGGAGGCCGGGTTGCACCCAAGGTTCCGACAGTTCATCATTAACATTGCACAGGTTCGCTTTGATTTCCTTATCTATTCTTCTTCTTTTTTTTTTTCCATTGTGCTTGTTTGATCGCACTATATTCGAATGTTGCTTCTTGTTTTGTGTCAGCTTCTACGGAGTTGGGTCTTTATTTCATTATCAATTCCATTTCGTGATTTGGTCCACTTCAGATGCCCATTTTTGTTCTTGACGAATTAACAATTGGACCTTTCCTTGTGCTTATTACTAACATCGATGAACGGTCCTGAAGCAATAGCTTGTTAGTCCTAGATCAATTAAATCAATTAAATTTAGATGGGTTTGAGTGAGTTTGTGTAATTTTATATGGATTCATCAAGAATCTGAACTCATGCGTCATCAAATCATGTTTTACTAATGTTACATTTCATTTTGTTCATATGAAATTTCATTTCCTTGAATGTGGTTCTATAGCTTCCATTTACATTTACTTATATCTTGGGTGTTCAATAATGAGATTGAACTATAAGTTAACGCTTTATGTAATACCATGTTGAGATAAAATTATTAGAAAGAAAATGAGAGATATCAAAGAGCTGAAATTGTGCAAGAGAACCATTGAACGAAAGCTGTTCTTGCAGGACTACTTGTTGCAGAATGGTTGAATATCTGTTTAAGAAAACCTATCCTTTACTTTCGTTTTTAGTGCCTATAAAAATCCTGAGGTTGAAGCAATTTCTGGGGTATTCAAATATGTACTTTATATGAATAACAGAAGTTAATTGCCAAAATCCAAATATGTGGTTCCATATTGAAATCCCTAGTTTTTCATTAACATATGCTAATGTGAAGCATGTAAGTGCGTGCACACACACACACACACACACACACACCCCCCTGTAAAGAGTTAAACAATTCTTCCTTCAGATGCTTTCTTTTAATGGAAATTTAAGGTTAAAAAAGAGTTCAACCATTTTTTTCTACAATGTGTGATTAATTAGTTTCCATGTCGAATATTTGTGAGAGGTAAAGTCAGGTGAAGCCTATGCATATTTATTCTGGATGTTGACTAGTCACTAGTTTCAAGTTACTTGGGATAGGTGTTCCCTTTTGGACATTTGAAACCTGTCATCTTGATTTTAGCATATTCTAAATTATCCTCTTGGTTAAAAATATTATGAAAGAAACTTGTAGAACCTAATTTATCAAAAAAAAAAAAAACATGTAGAACCTAAAGTAGTATTTATGAAGAAAGAAAGAGAAGTAGAAATAATATGCTTTTTAGATATCAAATATGTTTTATTGTACTTACATGGTAGCTTTTACCATAAGTTTGTAGGTAAGTCCCATGTGGATATAATAATAATAATGTAGAAACAAATGATGGGTTTTGATTGTCAAAAGGCTCACAAAAAGCACAAGGGGCCTTCTAGTGCTTGAGGCACAGGGCAAGGTGCAAACATTTTTGTAACAAGGTGCAGAATTTTTAAAAAATTAAAAAATTAGTAACACATAAAAATGCAAGCCATAATTTTGAAAGAAATTAAATGTTAAAAAAACTATTGGCTCACATTAAAAAATTAAAATGCATAAGCATAACATATAAAACATATTCAAAGTGAAAATGTACAAGTGAAAGCAAGCATATGTAGATGCCAAAGCTTTTCAAGCACTCAACAATACAAGCATGTGAAACTTTCAATTTGTTTATTTATCTTGTTGCATTACTTCAAGTAGCTAGTGTGATGTTTTTCTTGATAAGTAAGGTATTTTGTATTAATAGAGGGAAAGACTCCTTCAACAGAACATGTACAAGTCTGTATAGACCTGTAAAAAGGTGGAAGATAAAATTTATCCCCTCTTTAAACTTCAAAATTATCATCAAATATGATTCCCTCCCAATGAGTACAAAAAGGTAGATGTTTGAAATGCTGTAAATCTTGTAGCAGCTAGCCTATCCATTTACACATTTATCTGTACAAAAACGATGTTAAACATTTGGCACCCTAGGAGATTGTGACCTTCTGCCTCCATAAAGGCCCCTTGAAACAAGTCCAAACAATTCTATGTGAGAGTCTGGGGCAGTGCCCTGACCTAAATTTTGGTTTATGTATAAAGGGTTGGTTTTCAGATTTTAGTTGCAGTTCATTCTATCTTAGGATTAGGGATTGGATATTAGCTCTATTTCCAAGAACCAAGGCTTCCGATATTTGAAATTGAAAAGTGTTTTTTTTTTTTTTATAAAGTTAATAGACCATTACTAGTTTACAAACATCAATAAAAGGTAATTTAGAAGTTGATAAGCCATTACAAAGGTGTAAAACACATAACACTCTACCAAAAACACAATTAAAAAAGTACATCTTTGGGCCAAGGCACAAGGCACACCAAGCGCTTGCCTAGGTGCATGCCTGGTTCATCTTTTGAAAAGGGCTGCACCTGGATTCAGGTGAGGCATATGCCTTAAAATGTGCCTCACCGCCTAGGTATACCTTTTAAAACATTGGGTTTTAAGTTGGATCCATGATATCTTCAACTAAAGTTTCATATGTCACATGTTTGTTGGTTGCAAGGTTCAAAATGCACCTGGACCTGTTTTTTATGTTTTTTTTTTTTTTTTTTTTTTTTTCTGAAACTGGTTCAGAGGGGCCGGTTTAAGGCCAGTCTACCCTCTGAACCACTCGCTGACCCGAAAGATCCCCTGTAGGGGGGTATCGGGAAGGCTCCAATACGATATGTATTGGCTGATACAGGCCAATACGTGACAAAATTTTGATCCTTGGTTGGTTGTATTCAACTAGAATATTGCTTACATTTTCTTCGTAATATCTTTTCATATCAAAGCATGCCAAGATCATGCTTTCTCAATGTAAAAACAATTATCTTATTTGTCCAAGAAGCACAAATCAAGGTTCAAAATATCGAAACAGGTTGATATGCCGGTAGGGTCGTATCAGCCTGTATCAAGGCTCGTTTCTCCATTTTTTTTAGTCTTTTTTTCAATCTGGTTCAGAGGGGTCAGTTTAAGGCCCGTCTACCCCTAAACCATGGTCTGACCTGAAACACCCACTGTAGGGGCATATCGGAAAGCCCCCAATATGATACGCATCGGCTGATACGTATCGAAGTTTTGATCCTTGGCACAAATATTCCATTAGATACCCATCTTTCACAAGCATTCCAACAAATTGCAAAATGGTGGTATATCCTTCCCTCTTTTTGTTAATGAAAGTTATCTTTGTTACTTTCTTGCAAAAAAAGGTCAAGGCATGTAAAAGCAAAATGGTCCTACTCTGTTACTTTCTTGAATGAAATGAAGGTCCTCTCTTTTATGTTATATGCAACTTGTCTTCATGGCACTGGTGTTATTTGTAGAGAATTCTGTAATGTGCTATGTGCATATTAGATGTTACTACAGTGGGTGATGCTTATGTTTTTTATCCCTCTTTCAAGTTCCAGTTCCTTGTCCTTTCTTAACCCTCATATGGTTATGTTTCTTTTTGCCTTCTCTTTTTATCTTATGCACTATATTCTGTTTATGGCCCTCTTAACATAATATTGGTATTGTTTACCTTTGGCTGCTGATGGTTGTCTACTTGTCTTTTAAGTTAATCTTTGAGTTTAGGAGTATATGGCCTTCCCTAATTAATGCTGCTACTGCTGGAATCAGGCAAACCATCGGTTTACAACAACCATGCAGAGACGCATATATGGTCATGCAACTGATGTTGAGATCCGGCCACTAAATGAGGAAAAAGCTGTTCAAGTTGCTTCTGATCTTCTTGGAGAGCTCTTTGTGTTCACGGTAGACTTTCTACCCAAGTATACTACTACTTATTTTGGTCTCTGTTGAAAACAAATGTTCAGATTTGACATGATCTGATAAATAAATCAGCACACATATAGTGAATCATGGGCCCATGCTTTTCATTTTACCTGTTAAATGATATAAACATCCAATTATGATTTTCTATGTTCCTTTTCCTTCTGGACAGTCAGGGAAGTAGCAGTATTCAGAAGCATAAGTACAGTTTCAATCTTTCTTGCATTAGGATATATCCTTCTTGTTTAGACATTTAAGCTAATTTATGATTACAAACTAGATTGATATTCCAATTTTTTGCCTGCCTTTCTATATCCTCAGGTTGCTGGAGCTGCTGTGATTTTTGAGGTGCAAAGAAGTTCTAGATCAGAAGCCAGGAAGGAGGCATTACGCAGACAAGAACTGGAGGTAATGTTAAATGTTTCAAGTTTTTCCTCTTCTATATGACACAGAATACTTTGATGCAATCTGTCTTTGCCATATTTCATGTAAAGGCCTTCTTTACAAGTCTCATAAAATGCTGAAGGGAATGAACTGCTGATTTCACTTATTGTAAAGAATTGGCTTATACCTAATTACTTAAAGAATTGTTCTACTTAATCAGACTTCAGGATCTTGGACAATAAAGCTCTTTTAGTTTTAGAATAACTAGTACTATGAAGTATTATTGATTATTCTACATAATTTACTCTTCAAATTGGCGAGGCTTTATTGTGATAAGTCTTCATGTACTTAAGACCTGCTGCCATTCTTTATGTGCAGCATAGTGTGTTTTCTTTTCAATGAAATGCATACAATTATTTTTCAAAAAAAAAGTGGCACATCATCATCTTTCCTTTCTATTCCAACTCAATGTGAACCATTTACTTATGCAAAGTTGTTCCTTCATAAACAGTAGTTATTGCAACCAGCTGGTTGGTAAGGTCTCCTGCTGGTCGTAGCGTAGACTTGGGATCGAAACCCGCCTGCACCTGGGTTGGGGGATGGTCTACCCCCCGTTGTGTAACCCTTCAGAACATATAAAATAAATGAATAAATAAACAGTAGTTATCTATGTTATAATTTTTATTCTTTCCTTCAACCATTTCTTCAATTATAATCCAAGACCCATGCTGCTTAAATATACAAACTTTTCTGAGGTCCAGGATGTAGCACTGATGATTCTTTTAAATACCTTTTCCTCTTGCCTCTTAAACTGAGATCATTTAGTTGTTAACTCTCAAAATTTTCACCTCTTAAACATATTTAGATTCTTTTGCACATAACATTTTCTCCAAATCATGTTTTTCTTATCTCATCTGATGTAGGAGGAAAACCAGCTAGTCAAGTTATGGCCCAGCCTATTATATCAGTCTAGAAAACAAGATATTGTGTTATTGTCAAATATTCCATTATTTATTGAAAGGACATGCTATTTCAAGCCAGCGAAAGACTAAATGGCTCAATCTTTTCCACTTTATTTTTTACCTCTTATTTTGGCTTAAATGATGTGCTAAGATATTGAATTTTTTTTATTAATTTTTAAGTTGTTAGAAAGCATATTCAACTATCAAAAAGCCTAAAATTCTGTAGTACAATTTGAGTATTTTTTGGCTGCTTTATGTTGAAAATGAAGAAATACAAGGAATGGACAGGGATCAACTTTATTTTTGAGTTCAAATGTAAAGTATGTTACAAATAGGGGGGGTAGAACATTTTAGCCTATACTTGGGTTGTACAAAAGCCTTGTACATATATTTTCTGTATATAATAAATGAAGATTTAGTTACTGATCAAGGAAAGTTTGAAGAAATACAAGATGGTATTATTTTTCTTTCTTTTCATTCATAAGTAGTTCCAAGTCAGTTTAAATTTGTCATTGTTGATTCTCCACCAGCCATAAAGTCAATTTCAAGAAAGTAAGAATGTTTTGTGTCAATTCCACTCAAATACCCCTATTTACTAATATTCCATGAGTAAAAATAGTTAGTTTTTGAATGTTGAACTGAAATTGGTGGAAAGATCTTAAGTTTTTCTTTTTTATCAGTGACAGCAGTTAGATTTTATTAAGATATGAAAAAACCCCCACCTATAGGGTTGTAGGAACCAATAAAATAGAACAGCTACAAAATGACATGTACCCATGCATATTCATTCTTGAAAACTTGTTACAAGTTCCAAGTTCACTCTAGGCCTGGAGCCCTCCAATCAATTCAGTTCTGGTAACCCCAGGATGTGCGGTAACTAATGGAGTTTTAACTTAAATTGATAAATAGCGAAATAGGAGATTAACAATCCAGCTAAATTTCTTGGAGATTATCATCAGGTGTTCAGGTTTAGACTTAGCATACAACTTGGTCTGATATTCAAGACAATCCTGGCCACAAGTTATGGAATTCATTCTTTTATTGATAGAGGACTTTAAGGATAGGGGTGTTAACAAGCAAATCTATAACTGGCCACTGTTATTTCCCCTCACTGTGAGTCTTGGGATTGTTGTTCCACTATGCAGGTTCTGTATAGATGATTCTGAGCATCATGACCCACAAAATATAATGACTCAATAGAAAACAATTTGAACATAAAATGAAAGAAAAGATTCAAATTAGTAAATATATAATTGTTTCACTGTAATATTTTTTTCTAAAATTTATTTGAAAGCAAAGTTGCGTTCTCTTTGAAGATGAATATGAGCCAAGAGGAAACGTGGCAGATGGTAAGATCAACTCCCTACCAGTCTTCCACTGGAGCTTTATGTGGCTATTGAGAGCTAATGCATAACTCAATCAAGCTCTTGTATATTTTTTTTTTTAATGTAACTAAAGCATGAATAGTGGTTAATCCCATTTAGCAATAAATTAATCTTTTTTGGGTATTTGTCAGATATGAAAGAATGGGCACAAATGGGCTCTTTTCCTATTCAGATAGATATAAATGCATGATCCAGATACAGTTCAATTATTATTTGGGCCCAATTCTTAACAATTGAGGTCATGTGTGTTGAGTAATCAGGTGTCAATGAATAAGCTAATAGAGGACCATTGTTTTGCTTGAGTGACAGGTTAGTTTAGCATATATATGCTTAAAATTGGAGTTGATACCATTCTAACTTTAATTGAAGTAAATTAAATCCAGTAGCATATTAGAACCTATCCATGTATTAAAATGCTCAGCTTCTAAGAAAGTCTTGATTGTAAAGATTAGATCTTTATCTTATAATAAAACTACTTAAAAGCATCATTTCCATTGATATACAAGTCAATTTAGAATGTTTAAAAAAATTGTAGCAAATACTCTCTTTAAGGACAGTATGGTGGAATCACTCGTCTAATTAATGGACCTGAAGGTGTGAGCTAGGTCAGACTGATAAACCTAGTGGATGTAGTTCCTTACTGACCTGGGATCAAATCCAGCCTTCATCACCCCCAGCCCCAAATTGCCTAGAGAAAGAAATAATGGATAGAACCTTGTAAAAGGAGAAAATAAATGAGCTATATCTATTTCATCATGAACTCTAGCAGTCTGAGAGTCAGAGGTAGAAATGTCAATTGTTAAATTATGCACATTGCTTTACTTTGTACCATCATTTTTCCTTCAATAGAATAGTTTGAGCTTCTATTGTTAGAGCAAGAAGGAAAAATCCCGAATCTGTTCTTCAAGGCTTCAATTAACAAAGTGCATTTGCAACTGCTGAACTTCTTTTGCTTGTTCATTCTGTTTTATTTCTTTTCATATTGATTTTGGACCCCTTTTCTCAGCGAGGAAAATCCATTTCGCTGTATGTTAGCATTCTAGTGACCATCTGATTCACTTTTCAGGCAATGAAGCAAAAAGATGAAGAACTAGAAAGGGAAATCGAGCTTCTTAGACGCAAACTTGAAGAGCTAGATCACCTTTCCAAGGGACGAGGTCTTTCTGGTATTCTAAATTTCAGGCATGCTCATGCTATTGAAGATGATAAATCAGCAAAATCTGCATAGAAAGATAATCAAAGAGTGATTTTCCACCTCTTCCTCATCACGGTGTCAGTTTAACAAGAGTTTAAGCAAATACTGAGATTCTAGTGTTGACAATGAAAATTAGCTTTTAAGATGAGCATGCGGGAGACTGTGATAGATATGAATAACACCAAATCATGAAAACAAAGTTCAAAGTATATCGATAGCGTATCGTTCAGTATCGGTCCTTTTTTTGTAACTTTTACTTATTTTTCGATCTTGGTTCAGAGGGGCTGATTTAAGTCCGGCTACCCTCTGAACCAGGCCCTAACCCAATACAATCCTTGTAGCGGCATATCGGGAAGGGCCCGATACAATATGTACCAGCCGATATAGGCCGATACTTAAAGATTCTTTGAACCTTGCATGAAACATGGCCGTAGTGATAAAATTTTTTCATACAATACTTGCTCGCAACTTTTGATTAGTCGATACGAATGATACAAAGCTGACCTAGCACTAATCAATCGATACACGTCAATAATGTCCCGGGTGCAATGTAAAGTAACTGAACGGCTGAACCACTGTCAACCATAGACATTTAACGGTGGTCTTTGTTGCAATGTTAACATATTTCAAATTTGTCTCAAGTTTGTAGTAGAAGACTAGGAGCTCTTTTTTCCCATGTCTTTTCCCTCTTTCCAGATGTCGCACTTGGAACTTTAAAATGTGCAAACATCACAATATTTGCAATTGCATATTTTAGGGCAAAGCGACTGTACTGAAGTAATTTAAGATCTAGACCTCACAATCACGATTCTGAAAGAGGTGTCTCAACTCTAAACTTTCAACCTAAATCGCAGTCCAGTTCGACAATTTAACAACTGAGAGTACCCACTGTACCACAAAGTGACCTGATTAGCTGTTAGTAGTTGGGCTCAACTTGTTTAGGTACTAGGCAGTAAGTACTGTAGTAGTTGGTACGTACATTTATTGGGTTAAGTAGAAATTTACGTTTGCAGAACACGATGGCGAAGAGCTTCCAAGGAATAAAATAACTGTGCACCAGCTGCAACACCAAAAATTATGGATTACTGCCACTTCGGACTTTCGAGTTTTCCATCAATCCATCCATGCAAGAATGGTGTGGTGCCACCATTTCCGTTGTACATAAGACTACTATGTCATTTTACAGTTGAACAAAAAAAGACAAAAAAAAAAAAAAATCCTTATTAAAATATCTAAAGCCTTTCTGCTATCATATTTTTCTCGCATCATAGATTTAAGATTTTTCCCTAAATGATACAGATGAGACTCTAACCACTTGTCTTGAATTATATTCCCAAGAGAACATAATCTTCAACAGTCTGTATTGTGGTAGAGTTGTTTGTGGCATCACGTCAAAATGGTTACCTTGAAAAGCATGAACGTGAATTCTTTGACAGCTCCAAATGAATAACATCTTTGTCCGGTTCCTGCAGTCACTTCAGTCAGTCAATTTCCAACACAACCTTACCAGGAATTAGCCTTTTATCTTTAACCTTATGTGCCTCTCTCACTTGGGTAATAGGAAATGTTTTCTCCACCGGTATCTTTAACTTCCCAGATTCTGATAACCTACGGATCTCATCTAATCCTTCAGGATCAGCCCTCATGTATGTCCACCAATACTCTACAACATCAAAATAGAGATTAGGGCTTAGTTATATCAATTACAATTATCTAAAAAGAGTCGGGTATTTGGCAATGTGGATGCAGCATAAAATCTCATACTTTCACCGTATGTGTAAGTCCATGTTAAATACATGATCATATGTCCCACCTTCCAGAAAACTGAGTTGTTGTCAAACTATGGTCATTGGGTCTCTAAAACAAATGCATTGATTGATAGGTGGGCTGGTTGATATCCAAGACTCAAATATAGCATCAGGGAGCTTACATTCACATCATCAGCTAAAAAGAAATTTTTCATGGTGCACCAAGATCTATAACCCAAACCAGCAAAGTACCATGACTAGGTAAGGTCCTCTAGAGAATGCACAGCAAAGTTTGCTTATGTGCTATCAAGACTTGAGCTCCTCAAAGTAATAGTACAAATATTTATACAGAATTGGTATTAAAGGAAAGAATATGTTTTACCGGTAAGTGATCCCTATTTCTTACAACCCTTCTATTTAGCCATGTGAAGAATCATATGGCTGAATTGGCTACATCTTCAATTTCTCAATCTATTTCAATATTAGGGTGTTTGGGCTCTGTCCCTACAAACCCGGACTATTTTTAAGTCTTCTTTTTTCCAAAATCAGAAACAACACCAGAAAAGGGCTTTCTTAACCCCCACCCCCGTGTTGTGACTTTTCAGTTGTCACCAACACATGAAATTCTCCAGCTGCAAGACAAGGTCTCCTTCCAGGAGGGTTTAATGACAAGACCAAGGTAAGTCGGTAGCTTCTGCATTTTAATGTTAGAAGCATAACTACCTTTTCCAATTTAGAGTTAACCAGTCCCAACTCAATCTAGAAAAAGGACTTTCTTACTAAGCTTAACTTGCAAATAAAAGAAAAGTAATTCTCAATCCTGTAATCAAGCCATATACTTGCTCATTAATAATTTGCCTCATGCTATCAAGGAAACTTAGAACTATAAAGCATTTATATTAACACTTTGATTGCAAATGGATATGACTACAAGCAAAAGCAATTGATGACAGATTTCTAAGAGCAATAAAATTGTTTTATGTTTAACAAAGAGAGTAGTAGCATTGATGCCGTATTTCTGCTATTCTCAATTTTCTTTTCTTTCAATAGAAATGTCCATTTTTTTTCCCACCATTTGGAGCCCTCTTATATAGCTTCATTTTTATCTAATTGTTTCACTGATCACCATACTAAATAATTAAGTCATCATTATTGATGGGCTTGACCTCTTTTAGCATGCAAGTAAATTATAATCCTTCCAGCCCCTTCAACTTGCAACATATCACTTTTTCTTACAGGTGTTGTTGATGGTCTTTATGCACATGACCAAACAATCTTAGTCTACTTTCTCCACTGTTATTTTTATGTGTCGTGACTGGCAAAAATGACAAGCAGGACCATGGAGGGGGGATTCCTGGAAGGTTTCAGAGTCTGTCATGGGCGCACTGAGGTGGCTTTACTTCAGTATGCTGATGATACACGGTTTTTTTCTGCAAGCCAAAAGGGAGCAGCTGTTTCACCTTCAGTTGATTCTGGCATGGTTTGAAGTGGTGTCTGGCCTGCATGTTAATTTCCATTGAAGTGAAATTTTCACTGTAGGTGAAGTTCAAATATTCTAGAGCTTGCTTCTGAGTTGGGTAGAAAAGTGGGTAAGCTCCCCATAAATTATCTGGGTCTACTTATTGGGGCCGAATGTATACTAAGTCTATTTGGGAGCTGGTGGTGGAAAGATTAGAAAAGAGGTTAGCAGGCTAGACTGCTGGAAATCAAAATACTTATCTAAAGGTGCTAAGGTAACATTGCTGAAAAGTTCCTTGGCAAATCATCCCATTCACTCTCCTTATTTCCAACCCCAGCTCAAGTGGCTCAAAGGTTTGAGAAACTGGAAAGGGGCTTCCTGTGGTGCAGCAAGGAAGGTGAGCAGAAAATCCACCAAGTCAATTGAAATTCTGTGTGTAAGCCCTTGGCTGCAGGTGGGCTAGGCGTCAGAAATTTGAGGTAGATGAATAAAGCTCTTCTGGGGAGGTGACTCTGGCTATATAATGCTCAGCCTCAGAACTTATGGAGAAAATTAATTGTGGAGAAATTTGGTTTAAGAAGCAATGGTTGGGACCTGGGCAACAGCATCTCTTCTTTTGGTTGTTCAGTCTGGAAAGGAATCAAGAAAGCTTTCTCAAGTTTTATCCAGGGGGTTAAGCTAAAGGTTGGGGATGGAAGAAGGACACATTTTTGGCAAGATCCCTGGTGCAGTAATAATGGTTTGATGGAGGAGTATCCCTCCCTATTTCTGTTAGCAGAGAATAAAATGCTTTGGTTGCCAAGCAGATAGATTGGATTGGAAAGGAAGGAATTTGGAGTCCAACTTTCAAGTGACAGCTTAATGACTGGGAGACTTCAGACCTAATTTGTTTGCTTCCACAACTTCAAAGCTACAAAGCTTCTCAGGACTGGCAAGATGAAAGAGTGCGGAGGTGGTTCAGAGAGATTAAGTTCTCTGTCAAATCTCTTTATGTGAACAAAGCAACCTCTTTCCCTTGGGATTTTCCTTGGAAGGAGATTTGGCTTCCGCATATCCCATCCAAGATCAATTTCTTTATGTGGTCTGCTATGAACAGTTAGTGAGGAGGGGATGTTGCCGGATTCTTTGGACTCTGTTATGTGTGGTCAGGAGGCAGGGTCAATTGGTCACCTTTTTGTGCACTGTAAAGTAGTCAGTCTTATATAATCATTTTTGCAGGCTGCTGAATGTTAGCTGGTGTCAGCCAAGGAGCATGTTTGAGCTGGTGCAGTCCTGGAAGTTGGTGGGTTTAAATCAGAAAGGGAAGCTATTGTGGAGTTCAGTGCCTCATGTACTATGTTGGGTGTTGTGAAAGGAGAGGAATAGAAGGATTTTGAAGGGTAAAGTTGGGGAGTAGATAAGGTGGTCCAGCAGGCAATGGCATCTCTTCATTCCTAGTTATTAGCCAAAGAGAATTCCGCACAATCAGTTTTTTTATCACAATACCTTATTTTATTTGGCTAGTCAGATAAGTTGACAGAAGGACCTTGGCTTTTATAGCATGTTATTTGGGTTGGAAAGCTCATTGTTTGAGGATTCCACTGACATCTGATGTATAGTTTTTGGCTGTACATGTTGCTTATATGATACACTTTTTTTTTTATAAATGTTGCATATATAATGCACATTGTAACCTGAGCTTTTACAGTATACTGAAAATACAACATATTACCTTACCTTTCTTAAAAAAATAAAAATAAAAATAAAAATCTTAGTCTACTTTCTCTTATTTTATCTCCTATTTGAACTACTCCTAAGTCCTAAGTTCCAATCAATGGTTTCATTTCTGATCCTACCCTTTCTATTTTTTTCCACTCATCCATCTCAGCTTACGCATTTCTGCTACACTCGTTTTCTGGACATGTTGCTTCTTGACTAGCCAACACTCTGCTCCACTGGGATTTTCTCGGTGAAGTCCTTTTATTTGAAGCTGAGTGCTGGTGAGTCTCGGGCCTTTCCATGGAAAGAGACTTGGCTCCCTCATATTCCTACTAAAGTCTCCTTCTTGGCCTGGACAGCAGTTCATGGTAAATGTCTTTCCAAGGATCAGTTGAACAGGAAGGGTTTGGTGCTGGCCTCCCTAAGCTGTGTGATGTGCAATGAGGAAGCTGAATCTGTGGATCACTTATTTATTCATTGTAAGGCTGCTCATTTGCTGTTCAGCCACTTCTGCTCCCTGTTAAATGTCAGGTGGTGCTTACCCAGATCTCTATTTAACTTGCTTTTCTCTTGGAAGTTGTCGGGCTTAAGCAACATGGGTAAGGTGCTGTGGTGTGTGATCCCTCATGTGGTGTGTTGGGTCCTGTGGAAAGAAAGAAATAGTAGGATTTTTGAATGACAGTTCTGCTCCTTAGATGGTTTGGTGGTTCGGGCAATGGCTACTCTGCATTCTTGGCTGTCGGCCAAGGATTATTTTAAGCATATCCCTCATCATCAGTATTTTGATCATGGCTTTTTGTGGCTTTTCTGATCAGCCAAGAGCAATTGAATGACAGTTCTGTCTCTTGTATCTATTCCGGAGAGACTAGTTTTTTTTTTTTTTTTGTGCCTTTTCTGTATAGTTACTGGCTGTACATGGAGCGTTCTGTGGACTGATAGTTGTTATGTTCTACAGTTATATTCATATTAATACAATACCTTACTTTTTTTCTCAAAAAAAAAAAATGCTGGCCTTACACTGTTTTATAGAATTTTTCTTTTAGTCTAAGCAGTATTAACCTACCACATAATGCTCTAACCAATTAAGCTAATTTGCTTTCCAAAATATTTTATTTCTATTAGAATTTAGATTTGGTGATATAACTTTTATTAATCAAGAAAGATTTACATATACATGTATTTTCAGATTTTGCAACTGGATGCCGCGTAGTAAATGCACTTCATTGAGATTATTTAGGTTCACAGGTAGATGAAAAAGATCTTTATAGATAAGGTAAGTTGCATCTAGCTAATGAAAATATTCAGTCTCTACTCTACGGAATATGCAGATTAAGTATGATAAGCTCTGGAATTTGAAAGAAAATTTTTGAAGTTCAATACCTATTCCATGGGAGTAACGATATTGAAATTGTTTCTTCAATAAAATAGTTGTTGCTGCAGGAAGTCCAATTGCTAACCCATACCTATCAGCAAGAGATGCTGCCTCTCCCTATAAAGAAATGAATAAAATATTAAATGCCCAATGACAGAATTCAGAAAACAAGTATTTGAGAGCTTATCCTGAGATAAAAATCAATAAAATACCTCTATCCTACCTGTAGAGTCATGTAGTATCCACCTTTCCTTAAAAGGTTGATGCCTATTCTTTCTGTTTCTGGCACACCTATAGTGTCTAAAACAGCATCAAATTTTCCTTTTATTGCCAATTCAACATCCTGGAAACAACATAGTATATTAGTTCAGAAAAATATAAAGGCATTTAAGGTCTACTGTAACATTGATTAGCTGTCCAAGACAAAACAGACAAAAGCAAAAGAAATCAGGCACATATTCACTATATGATAACCTCTGCAGTATAATCCACAGCTTGCTCAGCACCAGCTGCCAGGACTCGCTCTATACTTTGACCCCCACATGTCGTTGCCACATCACAACCTATAGAGACTGAAAGCTGAATTGCAGCTAGACCTACTGCACCGCCTCCACCCAATACCAACAGCCTTTGTCTGCGGAGATGACATAGAGAAAATATCAAGGAATATGCAAAGAAGTTTCCGAAGTAAAGTGCTGATCACAATACAAAAGAGTAATTTGCAGAAAAATCCGTTACAAAAGACAGCTAAGCATTTTTTTTCTGATTAGTAACTTTTAAATTTATTCATTTAGATAAAAAAGAATGTTGTATATACAAAGGGATAAAATCCAAACACCCAAACCATATCACCTAAGCAAGTTAATTAAAAGAAAGCAATGTCCAGCATATGTACATAGAAAATTAGTATGTAACCTAAGTGCTCCACTAAGAGATGAGCAAAGTTTAATGGCTTGTGGATTGCATGGGGAAAGAATATTGGGACCATAGCCATGCTAACCACATTATTAGAGGGCATTCTTATGAAACAGCAGCATCAGGGTTAGGCATGTAGAATTTCACTATTAAAGAGGTCCCTGGGGAATTGTTCTTTTCTTTGTGGGGAGGGGAGAGTGGAAGGTGATAAATGCCTATTTATTCAAGATGAGAAGAAAAATAAAAGAAAGAATATAAGAAAGCATAATATTGATAAAAATGCCCCTATTAGGTAAGAAAAGAAACCAAAGGAATAAAAAAGAACTGTGAGGATGAAAAACCATTTACAACAGATAAATGTTGCCAACATTGCCAACAGAAAATAAAGAGCATAGAGAAATCAAAATGAGAGATTTTATTGGAGAGAGTGGAAAGAGGAGAAGAAAAATACAACCTGGTTAGCAGGAATAAGGTGTGTAAAACCAAACAGCAAGGAGGTCTAGGTATGTGCAGGGTGAGGAAAAACCATTTACAACAG